AACCTTACGCCGTCAGTATGCATGAAACAAGTAGCACTTGTTGGCATATTTTTACCTTCTAGCAACCCTGAACACTTCCAAGTTGCACACCAAAACATCACAGGAACACGTCCTCTGCTGACACCTGAACCCAAACCCATGGTCCCAGCGGACACTGGCATCGACCATTACACAGGGCCTCTGACATCCTCGAACTCCCAGCTGAACCATGCCCACCGGTTTCGACTCTCACACTCGCACGAGGTGCCCACCGCTTTAGGGTTTAGGCCACCCACGAATCCTATGAGAGACTAACCCTAAACCCGAAACCCTAAACCCGAAACCCTAAACCCGAAACCTTAAACCCGAAATCCGAAACCCTAAACACTAAACCCGAAACCCTAAACCCGAAATCCGAAACCCTAGACCCGAAAACCTAAACCCGAAACCCTAAACGGTGCCGATTCAACCCTAAAAGCCCCTACCTAGACCCCCAAAAGGATCTAAAAAATAGATCCCTAAGGGGGTTCCTATAAAGTACCCTTTAGTAGTTAGGGTCCCTAATTAGGGGATCTATTTTTTAGATCCTTTTGGGGGTCTGGGTACCTAAACAACCGGAAGCTCGGGAGCCTCTGCTTTTTCAGAGACCCGGATGCCTCGCCCAAAAGACTGAAACGTTCTATACGGGTTTAGGGCTTTTAGGGTTTAGGGTTTAGGGTTTAGGCTACAAGGAAACATACACGGTTTAGGGTTTAGGGTGTAGGGTTTGGGGATATAACATAGAATGAGATAAAGATAAGATAAGCTAGATATACTTAAAATGTGTATATATATACATACTTATCAGCAAATAAATATCCGAAAACCGGAAATCTCTTTTTCCAACCCCGACTCTGCACCAGGGAAACTGGGAAGTCCCCAAACCTCAACCCTTCTTCGTTGCTGAGTTCAAAAGCCCAACAACATGTAAACTTTCAGTTCTATTGGGGAAAATATTGTGCCAAAAACATAAAGAAGGTGTGCTCATTCACCCTACGCCTAAACCGCGAAGCGGCGCAGAAACCAAACAAGGTAGTGATCCGGCTTTGTTAGCATAAGTGGGATCACCTGGTCCTTTAAGCATACCTGTTAAACCCTATACAGCCCTATAAAACTCTGCAAAAATCTGAAAATTCCTTTAAAAGCCACTAACACCTGCTGAATTAAGTAGTAGGCTCCGAAACCCTAAACAGCCGAGTAGTAGGGAGACGACAAAGCTGCGCAGGGCTGCCGCAAGGCTATCTGAAACCGCCTCTGAAGGATGCTCAACGCTGAACAGGCTTCTTCCGTTTCGAGTGTAGGATTGGGCGGTTTAGGGTTTAAGGTTTAGGGTTTTGGGTTGTGAGATTCGGCTTTGAGAGCGAAACCCTTTATGGGCAGGTTGTGTCCAGGCACCTCAGCCACCGTCATCTCCTATTCCGAAATTACGGACGTCGGACTGGAGGCCTCGTCTTGCCAATCGCCAAAGGTGCATCCTAAACCCTTCTTTGTTTAACCCCGGCTCAAACCCTTTAAACTCTAAACCCTAAACCCTAAACCCTCAACCCTCAACCCTAAACCCTAAACCCCAAACCCTAAGCCCTGAATTTATGTCGTCTCAGCCGGCACAGGAGTCCAAATACCGAGAGAATTGGGGAAACAAAGATTCAGCTTCTGCAACCGAGCTGCCGCTGGAGAGGCCCAAAGCAGCCTTAGCCCTGACCCCCACTTCAGGAAGGGCTGGGCGTCGCATTTCAGGGTTTAGGGTTTAGGGGTTTAGGGTTTAGGGTTTAGGGTCCTAGATTCCTAGATCCTAAACCCTAAGCCCTAAACCGTAGTTCTTCTTGGGATATTCTTCCCAATGCCCGTATAACCTTGCGTGATCCAAACCTTACAAAGCCCTCTCAAAGGCCCACACTTCAAGAACTTAGGGTTTAGGGTTTAGGGTTTCCCTCTGGGAACCCACTCAAAAGATAGGCAGAATGAATTACAGTGGCAATAACAGCGACAAGTACTATAAGTCTGCACAGAAGCTAAACCCTGATCGAAAAAACTCATGATAACTATAACAATAGAATGGTCACATAATGCCGACAATAAATAACAACAACTAACATCTATCTCAGAGTACACATACTAGCAACAGATATAATAAAATGCAGTCATCATCACAATCACAACAATGGGAATTTCAACAAACTTCGAACCATATCTGCAACTGGCTATATCTGAAACTTACCCAACTTAGTTGCTGAGTTTGTAAGCCCAAGAAAAGGTAAACTTTGTGTCTCATAAGGGATAAAATTCTCCCAAGAAGTGTAATTAAAGTGTATCCACTCAGCCACTATCGGGGCCTTAATAATTCGAATAGGGTTTGGGGGTCCTTTATAGTATAAACATCATAAGGAACCCCCAAAATAATATAGGCACTTATTAATTGCCTAAAACCTAAACCCTAAACCCTGAACCGTTATAGCACTTAGGAAAAAACCCGCAATGATGAAGTCGTTACGAAGATCCCGGAAGCCGGAGAGCCTTCGGGATCCGACACACGCCGAAGGTCTCAAGCCTCGGCGTGGGGTTTAGGGTGTAGGGTTATGGGTTTAGGGTCTAGGAGTTTAGGGTTTAGGGGTGTAGGGTTTAGGGTTTAGGGTTTAGGGTTTAGGGTTTGGTCAGGGTTTAGGGTTGAAGGTTTGGGATATACGGGTCGGAATAGGGCTTGGGGGATATTAAAGTCTGGAATTCTCCCGCGAACAAGGCAATGCCGGTGGGTGGCCACCTTCTCACTGCACTGCGCAGGGATGCAAGATCTGCAAAGCAAGCGATCCACTGGCAATGTGCAACCCTAAACCCTAAACCCCTAAACCCTAAACCAACGCTGTCCCTGCATCGTGGTGATGCTCGTCGGATCATCGCGTTGATGATGTGGGGTTTAGGGTGAAGCTTTGGGCTGCTTTCTTGCGGATCCCTGTGACCTCGCCGGCAGCCGCTGGAGCACCCATCTTGGTGTTTAGGGTTTTGACACTCATTGGTGTTTAGGGTTTAGGGGTTTGGGGTTTCGAGGTTAATCCTGAAAATCCAACGGACCTATCTTGTTAGCCTTTGGCAAAAGCGTCGAGAAGACTCGCAGCTGGCTGGTCTGGGATTCTGGTATGAATCTGGGCATCCGATACACCACAAGAACCCGAAGTAAAGTAATATACGGGCCTTAATAGTTAAAATGGGGTTTGGGGGTCCTTTATAGTATAAATTGTAGTAAAGAACCCCCAAATAATATAGGTAATTATTGAGGTTCCTATATTAGGGTTTCGACTTTAGGGCAGTAACTCCCAATTCCCTAAACCCTTGAGCGCAAACCGCAACTGATGTCTCCCGCTTGAGTGCTGGGCATCTGCCCAAGCTTTGCAGCTTCCTGAGCCAACACCGCCGGCTCCAGCGTGACTTCCTTTCGGGGCTGTCGTGATATACACAAGGAACTAAGGCTTCGGCTTTCGGTTTAGGGTTTAGGGCTTAGGGTTTAGGCTTTAGGGTTTAGGGTTTAGGGTTTAGTTCGGGGCCAGCCACGCAAACGAAAGTGTAACGGGGTGCATGCAACGCCTTTTTGTCACGCCTGCTCAGAGGGGCACCACCGTCAATGGCGTGACCTTTATGTGGTCTGCTCCCAACACGGAGCTGTAGTGATCATCGTCACTACTATCGACCCCATCAGCAGAACAATCACCACAACCATAACGCCATCATCATCTGGACTCTTGACTCTTGATGCTGCGCCTGAATCGGCACAAGCGCACGTCAAGATTACATGGGCTCTGGTGTTAGGGATGTTTTCGGTTGTGGTTTCGAGTGCTTCGGGACTTGATGATCACCTCAGGCGCCCCGGAATAAATGGAAATGTGTCTTGAAGGCTCATGTTTGGTTTCATGCTGGGGTTTCCACTTAAAACTTTAGATTTCTTATTGGGGTCATCAAAGGTCCGTCTCACCTTGTCTTACCACTTGTAGGGCACTAGGCGTCGGGCCTGCTGGGGTTTTGGTAATGTAGAGGCCTTTATAACTAGAATGGGGCTTTGGGGCCCATTGTTATAAGAAGGAAACCCCCAAAGTATCATAGCTAATTATGTAGGCCTTTCTATTCGTCCCTAAACCCTAAACCCTAAACCCTAAACCCTAAACCCTAAACCGCCATGCCCTCAGAAGCCACGGCCGCCCGGCGTGCGCTGCTCGTTCCGCTGCTCCTGGGTTATCGGCTTTCGGGGGAGATCGGTGAGCAGCCGGATGGGTGGGTTTAGGGTTTAGGGTTTAGGGTTTAGGGTTTAGGGTTTTGGGGGGCGATTAGGCTTCAGGGTTTAGGTCTGTAAAGCCAAATTCACTCAAGCTACCATCATAGGGAAGGATTACTGTTTGCTGCAGTCCCCTGTACTGGAGATCAAACACTAAGTTCCTCAATCTGCAATCGCCTTGACACGCGGAAGGGTTTAGGGTTTAGGGTTGCCAGACTCTTTCCAGAAAGCCACTACAGGAAACGCCACAGACCCTGAAAAAACAATCCTAACCCCCAGTCCCCAAAAACTCGAAACCCAAAGCCCCAAAGGTGTTCAGGGCTTGAGAGCCAGGCCGTCAACTCGCAAGTTTCGACGGCGTCAAGGTGTTGGGCTTAGGGTTTAAGGAGGCGTAAGGTTTAAGGTTAGGCTTGAGAGGTCCATGGTTGGAGTTTTGGACGGGTCATGTTTCCAGAAAGCTGCTGTCTGGTCTCGGTTGGTGTTTCAGATGGGGGTTGCTCCTTCTATGTTGATTCGTGGTCGGTCATTGCTCATTTTTGCTGCCAGAAGCAATCGTGGTCAGCGAAGCTTCATTCCTTTGAAGCGAGGACAGCAAGCCGCCATGCCCTACACGCCGAAGCAATGACACAGCTACTCAGCAACCCCGCAAGGGTTTCGTAGGCGATGCCTTCACCGGCCGGTGAACACCCTGGCCGGTGAATGCAGAGGAGGATGTGTCGAAAACCTATGCCAATAATCCTTCCGCAAACTCTGCTAGCTTCTCATCCGTATATCTGTGCACCTGCAGTCCCTCTTGCACCTCGGCAATCTTGGTGTACATTTCGAGTGCCGGCTTGTTCCATTCCAGTGCCAGCCAATAAAACGCCGCACAGTCCAGCCGGAGCCCGATGTCGGCCAAGGCCCTTAAAGTGGTGCTCCCCGCTCCTTTGCTTCGATACGCTTCCTCAACATAGAGGTCCTCCAAGTACAAGAACCGACCCTCTTTCATGTAGTAGCCGAAGTAGACCACTGCAATGCCGCAGGTTGTCTTTTCGCCCGTGCTGCTGTCAATGTGGTCAATCCTTTGTCGTCCGGTGCATGCACAGTCAGCATTATCATGCGAATTTCTAAACTGGCCAAGCCCCACGAAATTTCAGTAAGAGCTTAAACCTTCAAAACCCTGAACCCTCCGTGATACAAGTAAGACTCAGCAGGCAGTAGTAGAGTGGAGTGGGGCCACCACCATCAACGAGGTAGTCGCGGGCGGTGCAGCGAACGGCTTCCGGTGGCTCCTTGCGGTTTCGGGTTTCGGGATTTGGGTTTTGGGTTTAGGGTGTAGGGTTTAGGATTTAGGGTTTAGGGTGTAGGGCGTAGGGTTTAGGGTTTAGGGTTTAGGGTGGGTTCAGGGTTTAAACCCTAAACCCTACACAGGGACATCCACGTCTATCAGTCACAAAGGCTGGCGGGGCATTGGAGCATACAGTGAAAGTAGGATTAAGCGGCAGTCTGTCGGACTGTCAGCAGGACACTAAGGCCCCTGTCGGGTTCCAGGCAACCCACCCTAAACCCTTTTGGAACCCAGACCCTGCCAATCAGCTGCTTCCAGGTTTGAGTTTGGCGGCGCTACTTCCCAGATGCAATAACCACCCTAAACCCTAAACCCTACACCCTACAGCCCCGAACCCAGTAAGGTTAAGGACTGGCTTAGGGTTTTGAAGCTCTCGAAGCGAATGTAGGGGCCTTAATAATTTGAATAAGGTTTTGGGTTACATTACACGATAGTTATAACAAGGAACCCCCAAAAGAGTATAGGTAATGATCAAGGCCCCTATATTCGCATTGGGCCCAAAGAGTAGAGGTAATTGTTAAGGCCCCTATATTCTCATTGGGCCCCGCCTGCGTGTAGATCGCAAGTCCGCGCACCAGCCGCGCCATGACCTCGGCGTCGGAGTCGGCGTCCGCCAGTCGGATGTGGAGGTTGGGTCGCGACGACCTCATCTCAAGGCTTACAGGGTTTAGGGTTTAGGGTTTAGGGTTTAGGGTTTAGGGTTTAGGGAGAAACCTGATAAACCCCAAAGTCCCAAACCCTGAAAGTTTGGGGTTTAGGGTCTAGGGTTCTAAACCCTATAAAGCCTAAAGCCCTTTAGGCTCTAATCTCTAAACCCGAAACCCAAACCCTAAACCCTAAAGCCAATTAGGCTCTCACCTCTCAACCCGAAACCCAAAACTCGGAAGCCCGGTAGACCCTAAAACCCTAAATCTCGGTTTGAGGCTTACCTGGAAGCTTCTGGAACATAGGGGTTCAGGGAGGTTGAAGGCTTTCTTGCATAGGCTCGTAGGCATGGTAAGGAACTCTTTGAGGTGAGGGGAAAAGAGTTTAAGGTTTAAGGTTTAGGGTTTAGGGTTTAGGGTTTAGGGGTTTAGGCTTTAAGGTTTAGGGTTTAGGGGTTAGGGTTGAGGTTTAGGGCTTTTTTTGGTTTTTTGTTTAGCGTTGTAGCGCCTGATCTATGCACCGCCAGGTCCACAAAAAAGATAGAGTTCGACTGCTGGCTCCATCCCGAGAAACCTGCGCTCATCCAAGCACTCCTGCACCTGGGCTCTTCTTCCAGGCCCTTTGTAGAAGCTGCCGGTGCCCTCTTATGAAGATAGGTGGATGTCTACTTAAATCCGGTCCCGTGTTCGTAAGACGACGTCACTCTTCGAACAAGGACCTCCCGAAGGCACCCTAGCGTAGAGGAGCACCCAACTTCTATACCCCAAAACCTGAACCCTAAACCCTAAACCCTGAAGCCTAAACCCTAAACCCTAAACCTTAAACCCCTAAACCCTAAACCCCAAACGCTAAATCTTAAGCCTAAACCCTTAAACCAAGTACAGCCCCGGAGTCCCGGCCCTTAACCCTTAACCCTAAACCGAATAGATGCCCTTTATTGGTCCTTTAAAGGAACCCTAACTCTAAACCCTACACCCCACACCCTAACTACACCCTAAACCCTACACCCTAAACCCTAAACCCTAAACCCAAAACCCTACACCCTACACCCTAAACCCTAAACCCTAAACCCTAAACCCAAAACCATACACCCTAAACCCTACACCCTAAACGGCCTGCTCTTCCACGAAAGCTCGGTGGAAGGCCTTTCCTCCCGCCAGGTCCTGGGGCTCTCGGCCGGCGTAGGACTCCATGGCCCGGCGATCCATTCCTGGGCTTAGGCTTTAGGCTTTAGGGTTTAGGGTTTAGGCTTAGGGTTCAGGGTTTAGGGTTTAGGGTTTAGTTTAGGCTTTAGGGTTTAGGGGTTTAGAGGTTTAGGGGTTTAGGGGTTTAGGGGTTCAGGGGTTCAGGGGTTCAGGGCTAAGGAAACCATACTATTCACTACAGATCCCGGTCCTGGTGGCTTCAAGTAAGCTCCTTAACAAGCACCCAGATTCGAAGAACCAGCAATCCCTCCGAAATCTCGGGGGGACCGGTCTTGTACCATTCGGGGATGGACCGTCGCTTCCAAGTCAGCCGTCTAGAACCAATTCGAAGGGCGATCCTTGCCAGAATTTGAAGGTACATCTTCTCGGTGTCCTTGTTTCAAGCACTGGTTTCGGGGTTGTGAGTTGTGGGCTTCAGGGTTCAGGGCTTCTGCTTTCCCTAAACCCCGCTTTGAGGAGGGGCAGCAGCGCACTCTAAATCCCCAAACCCCTTCAGCAAGCGGGGTTTAGGGTCTCTCCTCGTCTCCTTCTGGAAGTTGATCAAGGAAGAGGCACCGTCCATCCCAGGTGGAGTAGCCGATGTAGAAGGATAGCAGCGCTTCCCTCCTGGCTCCGGGGTCCTCCGAAGATCCAGCGAGCAGTCCGAAATACCATGGCGTATCCATGCGCACTTCGGGCAAGAATGCAGTCCTCGGCTCTTGAGGAGCTTGACTCAGCTACCACAATATTGCTCCCGCAAGAAGGATCTTTAGCCAGCCTTACACATCTTGCTTCTCAAGATGATAATTTCAAAAAATGTTCCTTGACAAAGGCCCAGGCTCCAGTCGCTCACGGGCTGGAGGAGAAGTCCTTTCCTGGACTTTGAAGTAGCAAGGGAGAAAAGTTGTACGTTTGTTTTATAACGGTTCCTTTGAGGAGCAGGTCCCACAAAAGTACTCAACTATGGTACTCCAGAACCCAGTTTCCGGCCCTGCAGGATAGGGTTGACCTCTTGCAGAACATCATCGATGTGCTGGTGCACGAACGATGCTGTCAGCGCAGACGGCGACGACGCCGACATACCGAAGTGTTTAGAGTGGGTGAAGGCGATAATATAGCAACAATTGAACCCTGATCTATTCTCGCTATGCAAAAGAATGCTAGCGCCTAGAAATGTGCATGTTCCCTGTGGATCTTTCGACTTAAGAAACTCAGGGTTTCGGGCTTAAGCTCAGGGGTGAATGTTTGTGCCTTATATTGGGGGCCTTAATAATTGGGATAGGGTTTGGGGGCCCCTAATACTATAATTATATAAGGAGCCCCCAAAACAGTACTGGCAATTATCCATTCTGGATCTTAACGTCTTGCGTCATGCCCAACCCAAAGAGTTCACATGCATGGCGCAGCGCGGAGACCTAGGACTCGGGAAGCTGCAGTGATGACAGGCTCTATGCATGGTTTCGGGTTTCTGGTTCCCTGTTGGGGCTATATTTAAAATGATCAGTTTCGATCCTTATTGGGCTTTGTTATAACAAACATGAACAATCGTAGCCAACAAGGACCCAGGCTTAGGGTCCGGGGCCATGTTCCAGCAACATACACGGCGATCCCACAAAAGTTGACTTCATCTTCATCAACTTAAACCCGGATGCAAGCGTGCGGGACAGGTTCATGCAATGTCCCTTGAAAACGTATCTAACCAGAAGAGATTGAAAACTAAACCTTTACTTACTCCAGCGACACCCGTCAAGCCAAGCAAAGACCCGGAACTGCAAACACTGTGCAACTGGATTCAGACTGCCAGGCAACTCGAGGCGCAACAGACCGATTACAGACAGCCAGACCCTCAACCGCAAGCCCAAAACCCCCCCAAACCCTGAAAACCCTAAACCCTGAAAAGCCTAAAAGCCCAAAAACTTAAAAGCCTAAAGGCCTAAGGATTTGGAACCACTCCCGGCCGGACTCCTGGAAGCATTTCCGAACCAGGGCGAAGCCGCAACCGGAGCGCAGCAAGTCATTGCACTCTCAACGGGTTTAAGGGTTTAGGGTTTAGGATTTAGGGTTTAGGGTTTAGGGTCTAGGGTTTAGGATTTAAGGTTTAGGGTTTAGAATTTAGGATTTAGGGTTTAGGGTTTAGGGTTTAGGGTTTAGGGTTTTCCAAGGCCCATGTAAAAGATCAGGGGGCTTAGTAAGTCGGATTGTAAGGCAACGACTGTCATGTCTACTCATAACCCTGATTAAGCAACCCGCCTTACGAAGTCTTCCAAACACTAGGGCGCTAATATAGGGGCCTTAATAATTGGAATAGGGTTGTGGGGCCCATTATACTATAATTATAATAAGGAACCCCCCAAAAAATAGTATTGGCAACTATTTAGGCTCAACCCTAAACCCTAAACCCTAGACCCTAAACCGCTAGAGTTTAGGACTAAGGGTTGAGGATGTAGCCTAGGGACGCCCAAAATCCTCCTCCAAACTCTGCCCCTCTAGGCTCGAGGCTAAACCCAAAACAGGCCCCTGTAAACCCGAAACCCCAGGGTTTTGGGTTTCGGGTTTAGGGTTTAGGGTTCCTAAACCCTAAACCCCTAAATCGCAAGGTTTTGGGGTCTGGGCCTTATTACAGGTGCTAGTCCAAACCCGAACCCCCGGCTTTGGTGCCACGAAGGCCAAGCCCTAAACCCCGAAGGTTGTGGCATGATATAACAAAACATGATAGAACATAGCCAAGTGCAATATGATATGCTACACAGTGACATATAAATTAGCATGAAACAATCTGATTTACCCCAAACCCGAAACCCTAAACCCCTAAGTATCAGCGGCGCTTTCTTCCGCTCGGCACTCTCGTGGTTCGGTTCGCCATCGGACGTGTGCCGGGTCGAAGAGGCCTGGGCAAGAAACTAGGGTTTAGGGTTTAGGGTATAGGGTTTAGGGCTTAGCCTTTCGGCTCTAGGGTTTCGGGGTTAGGGCTTTGTGGCTAAAGGACCTGCACACTTCACAAAGAACCATGGTCGTGACATCGACCAAACATCCGATAAAAACGGGACACCCTCCAGTCCTAATCCGAAGACCCCACACACTGAAACCCCCCCACATAAGCTCTTCTTGTAGAACGCCGAAATCCGAGGAAGCTCTTATAGAATCCTATAGAACCCTGAAACCCATTATTAAAGCTCTTATAGGAACTTGAAAACCTATTTGTAAAGCTCTTATAGAAACTTGAAAACCTATTAGTAAAACTCCTTGTAGACCCCAGGTTAAAACACCCCGCGTCAGTGCCTGCATCAGCCCAGCTCGGCTCGCACAGCCTCCCACAGCTCCGTGTGCTTGCCTGAGTGCTTGAAGGGTAGGTTCATCGGCTTCTTTTAGGGTTTAGGTTTAGGGTTTAGGGTTTAGGAGCTTGAAGGGTAGGTTCAGCGTTTAGAGTTTAGGGTGTGGGGTTTGGGGTTTTGGGTGGGGCGCCAAATTCGGTGGCCAGGAAGGAAAGCTTGAAAGCCCCTATGGCACCTCGGTCTTGAGGTCCTTGCATAGAAACTTAACTGTGATTGTGTACATTTGCCTGCTCCCCCTACAGGCATAGCGATTCTACGAAGGCCGTAATGTGAACTCGTGTTGGGGTGCCTACACTAAGGCAGAACTATCTGCCCCGCCACACGCTCGGGGGCATTTTGCATCGGGAAAATCGGGCCTACAGCATTTATGTACTGCGAAAGTTTATCAAAGGTTGCGACCGAGACAAACATTCACCACACTCGATCAAAGCCTGCTGCAGGATTTTTGACACCAACTGTAAGACTAATAGAGGATTCTTACGCAATCATAACTCACTGTCAAGCTCCCATATTTAAACGCTCGAATAAATCCCAACCCTTCTACCTATTCAGGCCTCTATATGATTCGCCAAAACCCCAAAATGCTGTTCTTCTCTGTTCAGTTGCAACCCTGCTCAGCCAGGAGAGGGAGGAAGCCCGCAACGCGCTCCTTCTCGGCTCAGGCTGCCGGGGTTTGGAATTTAAAGGGGCTTGCACTTTGGTGGGTTTAGAGTAAACCCCAAAAAATTGGAAACCGGATTAAGGACATAATTAGTGCTGGGATTCCATATACATGCCTCTTAAGGATTTAGGCTATTGGGTTTCCAACTTTTGGGCTTCTGCTATAGAGCTTTAGGAGCCCATACTTTGCTTCAGGGCTTGGGCCTGCAAGTTCGCTTTGTGTTAGGGTTTAGCGTTTAGGGTTTCGGGTTTAGGGTTTAGGCCTCTACTTTGGTTCAGGGCTCCATGCTTATAGGAAACATACATAGGTAGTTCTCTGAATTAGGGACATTGGGGACCTAGAACAGGAACCAAAATTTAGAGAACACCTACATGGGAGTTTACTCCAACATGGACCGTGGACCTACGCTTCAGAGGATTCCCGCCTTCGCTGACTGGGGGTCCTGATAAGCTCAGACAGTTGAACCCTAAACCCTAGACCCTTTCAGCCCGGGCTGTAATCGTCAGCCAGCAAACCCTAAACCCTTTAAACAGTCTGTGGGCTTCGTGAGGATACTGTCGGAGCTGGGGGCTCCAACGGAATGTGAAATCAACTTAGGGTTTTGACGGACTTGCTAGGGCCGGTCGGCGCACGCTCAATTCGAGATGCAGCTGCTGTGCAGCAACAGAAGGGTAATTTAGGGTTTAGGCTTTAGGGTTTAGGTACTGTGGGAATGATGAAGACACGTTGGGTCTTTATTGGCGTCCAAAATACGGATCCGAATATTTTGGTGTTTTAGGACCAGGATTTCTTAATCAGGTTCCAGGAATCTGATTAAGAAGTCCTGGTCCAAAAACGCGAAACATTTGGATCCGTAAAACGGACCACAACAAAGACCCGAGGTTTCTTAATTAGCTTCCTAGGTTATTGCTTCATTATGATAAGACTTGTAGACTTGACTCGGCGCTTGCACCTCCATGTCGGAGTCTGCCATCAGCCGCACGGCTGCGCGCGATGCGTGGGCGTCTTCAAGCTGCCTGCCAGGGCCCGTGTGGAAAAAACTGAAGCTCGAAGCTTAGGATACGGCTGTGCCAAGAAATCAGTGCTACCACTACCACTACCACTACCACTACTACTACCACAACTACTACTACTACTGCTACTACTACTAAAACTACTACTAAAAC